ACAAATGACTTTTCCAAATGTCAGTTGCTCTTGGGATTGTGCAGAGAGTGAAATGTTCTTTTTTTGTCTTTACTTACATATATAGCATCTGAAGACTGAAAGTCAAGCTGTCAAAAACTTAACATTTGCACTAGGCTGGCATACAACTGAGACTATAACCTAAATTTAAATTTTTGTGTTTAAAAAGGTCTCACTGTTCTGGTTGACTTTAATAGAAAAAACATAAATAAGATATAAAATTAAGAAGAAAATTGGGTGCAAATAATTTTAGTTGTGCCAGACAAGGTGGCGTGCACTTGCAGTCTCAACTACACAGGATATTAAAGTGGAAGGAAGGACTGCTTGAGCCCAGGAGTTCGAGGCCAGCCTAGGCAACATAGCAAGATCCTTGTCTCAAAAAAAAAAAAAATAAATAAAATAAATAAAGAGGCCAGGTGCGGTGGCTCATGCCTGTAATCCCAGCACTTTGGGAGGCTGAGGCAGGCAGATCACGAGATCAGAAGATTGAGACCATCCTGGCCAATATGGTGAAACCATGTCTCTACTAAAAATACAAAAAATTAGCTGGGCATGGTGGTTCGTGCCTGTATTCCTATCTACTTGGAAGGCTGAGACAAGAGAATTGGTTGAACCAGGGAGTTGGAGGTTGCAGTGAGTCAAGAATGTGCCACTGCACTCCAGCCTGGCGATACAGCGAGACTCTGTCTAAAAGAATTAAGACTTAGGTATGGTTCATGAAACAACTGTTTCAGATGCTTACTTTGAAACTTGAAAACCAATGCTGTAAGGAAAGAAATCTTGATCTCCCAGGATAAGAAGGCTGTAGTTCTGATCCTGATCATGAATATTCCTGAAGAGGGAGTATCTTCCCTAGGTCACCTGGGCAGGTGTGGCTGTGAATGGGGTAGGGGAGGGATGTCAACGACTGAGTCAAATCTGCTCTCAATTCTAGAAGTTAGGAGACACTGGGGAGCTTACTGGTAGAGTGCTTCCTTACGTGTAAAATGCTTACAGAAAATCGAATAATCATATCATGAGACATTTATTCCTATTAGCATCGAAGATACAGGACTTTTGCTTCTGCGTGAAGGATAAGGTGCTCTGGGAATTGCTCTCCCACTGTAGTGAACAACTAGAAAAATGGGCATAATATGTCAAACATTTTCACACATTGGACAACAGGCAGCACGGGATTTTGATCCCTGCAAGAAGGAAAACAAGGTAAATTCTACAGCTGTCCCAGTTTTATCCCTGAGGCAGTATCCATGCCACACTCCGGAAGGGGAAACTCACACAGAGTTCCTAAGTAGAGAAGAAAGAGATCCACGCTCAGGGAGGCCAACCAAGCTGGCTAGAACGTGTCGAGTCTGGACAGGAGGGAGCTGCAGAGTGAGAGAGCTATGGAGATCGCCTCTTTGTCAAATACTCATCTGCACACGCATGACGGGGCCAGGAAAGAAACATTAGCGTTTGGCTGGGCATGGTGGCATGGAGCCCCGCTGCGGCAGCACCGCTGCTCTGCAGGATCCGTGGGGTTCCTCTTCTCCACTGTGTCCATCGGATGTTTGCCTTCCAGACTGAGGGGCTGCTCAACGTGACCCAAATTCTCAAAGAAAAGTTCCCTTGAGCTACAGCTATCAAAGTCACTGACATTTCAGGAGGTTGTACGCAACCTATGAATTTAAAATGGAATCAGAAGAATTTAAGAAGAGAACTGTCCAGCAGCACCAGATGGTTATCAGGCACTAAAAGAAGAAATCAAAGGGATGGCATGGACTGAGGATATTTACCTGTGTCCCCAAATGTTGACTGTGCCCTGGCAGCACAGATGCTGCTGTGTTTTACCTTGGATGAACTTAACTGACACCATTCTTCCCCAGGCATTCGCCAAAAAATCTGTATATTTTGTTCTTACACATTTCCATATTTATAGATGTGTAACCTATTTAAATATTTGTTTGTTTTTGAGACAGAGTCTTGCTCTGTTGCCCAGGCTGGAGTGCAGTGGCACAATCTCAGCTCACTGCAACCTCAACCTCCCGGGTTCAAGCCATTCTATTGCCTCAGCCTCCTGAGTAGCTGGGATTACAGGCATGCACCATCGTGCCTGGCTAATTTTTGTATTTTTAGTAGAGATGGAGTTTCACCATGTTGGCCAGGCTGGTCTTGATCTCCTGACCTCAGGTGATCCACCTGACTTGTCCTCCCAAAGTGCTGGGATGACAGGTGTGAGTCACCATGCCTGGCCTATAACGCACCTATTCTAACACCCAGCAACATAGTTGGCAATGAATACATGAGACAGCTATTAATGGTTTCCAGATTCTTTTTTTTTTTTGAGACAGAGTCTCATTTTGTCATCCAGGTTGGAGTGCAATGGCACGACCTCAGCTCACTACAACCTCTGCCTCTTGGGTTCAAGTGATTTTTTTGCCTCAGCCTCCCAGTAACTGGAATTACAGGTGCCCACCATCATGCCTGACTAATTTTTGTACTTTTAGTAAAGATGGGGTTTTGCCATGTTGGCTAGGCTAGTCTTGAACTCCTGACCTCTGGTCATCCACCTGTGTCAGCCTCCCAAAGTGTTGAGATTATAGGTGTGAACCACCAAGCCTGGCCATGAATTCCAGATTTTAATAGAACACCAAAAAAACCTTATGAAATGTTGGACTTTTTTTTTTTTTTTTTTTCTATTAGGAACCAAAAGGCTGAGAAAAGCACGATTAGATGCAGAAAGTATACTTTCTCATATATAATAAGAATCCATTTGCTCTGTAGGCAACTACATTTATTTAGAATCTTTGGAAATATACATACAAACATTCAGCAGTTTTATTCTTCCTGGCTTACTTCTCTTTCCTGCTAATTCCAATTAGTGATATCATTACTGTACTTAAATGGCCCAAATGATGAGTCCAAACATAAGAGCACTACTTCTTTCACAGATTTCTATCTTCATAGCCCCTCAGCTTGTCAGTAAGTTCTGAGGCAAAAATATCTTTCTGGAAAGGCAATTATTTAGTCATGCAAGCAGAGACAGAACCAATTATGACAAGCACTAGTTCTATCAATTTAGTGCAGTAAGAAGTATAAAGCATCATAATTCCTTCATCAATATACTTTTACCATGACCCAAAAAGATAACATATAAAGAAACACAACAATGTATTATCTCAACATGTGTATTTAATGGCCATTCCGTCAAAATAAAGCAGAATCCTATTTAAAAACTATTGTATGTATATATTTTTTTAAGGTACATTTTCAAGTTTTATTTGGGTTTCATTTCTTCTTGGCTTGCCTGAGGTGTTCTTCCAGGTACAATTAACACAAGGAATGTTCTGAGGTGGGAAGTTTTCATGCATTGAAAAATGAGATCCTAACAACATTGCACATCTTGGATACATTAGAAATTTTAAAAGCCATGTATAATTTCAGAAAACTTAATACTGTCATGAAAGACATTTTCAACACAAAATTTAGGCACTCTATACTTTGGAATAGCCATAAAATATTCCAACAAGAGTTAATGCACTTTGTGATTACATCTACTCAAAGATAATTCTCAATTAAAATCTATACTTATTAAAGAACATTTTAAATTAGAGCCCATTAAATTTTGATAATTACTGTGACATATTTGCAGCATTGTGTTGTAGTTAAATAATGCTGAACTACTTCTATTACTGACTCTAGTACTCATCCTTCATGGTTTTTCTTTCCCCCGAGACGGAGTCTTGCTCTGTCACCCAGGCCAGGTGCAGTGACGCGATCTCAGCTCCTGGGTTCAAGTAATTCTGGCGCAACCTCCTGAGTAGCTGGGATTACAGGTGCTTGTCACCATGCCCAGCTAATTTTTGTAGTTTTAGTAGAGACAGGGTTTTGCCATGTTGGTCAGGCTGGTCACGAACTCCTGACCTCAGGTGACCTGCCTGCCTCAGTCTCCCAAAGTGCTGGGATTACAGGCATGAGCCACTGTGCCTGGCTCAGACATGGTACTTTTAAAAACAGAGGACTCCATAGCATCCACCAATAGCCATCTCTCCATTTTTCCTGCTAATATATGAATAAGATTGCCAATAATCAAGTTAAAGGTATTCTTGTATTTTCTGCTGTAGCTGCTTTCTTTGCATGCAAAACTTCAGCAGATGGGAGTCTCCCTGGAGATGAGGAAACATCAGCCATGCATTTTCATCACAGATTCATTTGCTCAATTCATTTGCTCACTTTACAGCTAAGTATGTTGCTCCATTTAGGTTCCTGCAGTCTGTGCTGCTGGACTGCCTGCTATGGAGGCAAAGAGAAAGATAATCAAACATGTCACCCTACTTTGCTCAAGGCCAAGGCCACCAGGCCTTGTCTGACTTGAGACAAAACTTGCTCTTCTCTGCAGTGTGGCTCTGGAGCTTCTACCTCCTTTTCTTAAGACCAAGGGGTGGGAATGATGCCTGCCTACTGAGACGCCATTAATTCCAGATGATCTTCCTGGACTTGAATTTAATTTAGCATTGTTAGAATTCAGAACACGGATGCTAGCTGTTGAGAATAAGGTTCATTTGCTCAGTGGTATGCATTTGTATAGCACAGGAAACAATTAGTCTTTCAGAATTTTTTGAAGATTCTAGTCTGTAAATTGACTCATCAAAATCACCAACGATTAACATATATAAGATCTATGCAGAGAAATGAATTTGAGACTTATTTGACTATAAGTCATACAGAAGAGAGCACAGTAATTTCCCATAGGAGAATTTAGTATTTCATGTTGGGGATCACTGGTAATTTTTTTTTTTTTTTTTTTTTTTGAGACGGAGTCTCACTCTGTTGCCAGGCTGGAGTGCAGTGGCGTGATCTTGGCTCTCTGCAACCTCCGACTCCCAGGTTCAAGTGATTCCCTTGCCTCAGCCTCCCAAGGAGCTGGGACTACAGGTGCACGCCACCATGCCTGGCTAATTTTTTGTATTTTAGTAAAGACAGGGTTTTACCACTTTGGCCAGGATGGCCTTGATCTCCTGACCTTGTGATCTGCCCACCTTGGCCTCCTAAAGTGCAGTGTGACGCACTGCGCCCAATGCTCTCGCTGGTAAATTAATTACCCTGCTAATGTTTTCTTGCTTACTTGAAGAGACAATTATCATAAACAAATAATGAATGAGATGACAAGTTGCTTAACATTTGTTTCTGTTCATTGGATGAGATCTGAGGTTAAGTCTTGGTATGAGTAGGGGATAGGGAAAGAAGGGTATAAGGAAAGAGAAGTTAACTCTAGTTTGGGCAAATACAATCATAACCAGTTGGTTAAAATCAGAACCCTGAAATTAAATGCAAAACAAATAAGATTCATTTAAGTTTTATAAATCAACCTCACCAACAGGTGACAAAAACTGGGAAACATGAGGAGATGACTGTTGACTTGGGAAATTCACATGAAACCTCAGCCATTTCTCCGAGCAGAGAGGACAAGAAATAGGAATGAAGGTGCATTGTAGTTGAGAGTGCTTTCCCTACCCACTCAGAACTTCATCTGCCTGTGGATATTCTAAAGAACATCTATCTTGTGATCAGGCCGAGGCTCACGACAGCACAGTTAAGGTTACAGTCCCTCTCTGGTGTTTTAGAATGGCGACGGCTTGCTCATGAGTGACACCTTCCAGGGTCTCGCCATTAACAGCTAAAATCTGATCCCCTCGTTTTAATCGGCCGTCATCTGCAGCTGCTCCCTACAAACAAGAAACATTGCAGTTTAATCCAGGGTAAAGCAGTTTATATTAAATTAATATTAAAACCTCTAACTTCTGGCTGGTGTGCATATTTAAAAAGTAACTTTAAATGCTATCAATTAAAGTTTTTTTCCAGGTAATGTTTTAAATTAGGAAAAATGTAAGATATGCTGTTTGAATAACAATGGTTGAATAGTAACTATAATTATGAATCACCTAAATAACATACTAGTAGAAATGTACTGATACATTTCTTTTAATACAAGCAGAACCTTATTTCAGTATTTTGTATGAAATGGATATGGATGTCATGTCATATTCATGGAAATGTAATACACAAAAAAAGGCAGATAGAATTGAATCTGGTATTAGTCTTACGGCAAATACCACCATTATACAGAGTTCCCATTGCGTTATTAAGCTATCAGCACTGTGATCTGTCAAAAATTAGTGTAGTCTTTAAATGTGTGAATTGTATGGTAAATGAATTATATCTCAATAAAGCTGTTATCTATACATAAATATATATAAGTGTAGCATCTCCAAAATTTTGTAATATCATATTCAAAACCTTCCACTTTATGTTTATCATCTAAATAGGTTTCTAAATGACTACTTTTATCACATCCCCAGTCATGTATGGCTCCTCAAAACAACACAAAGCCAGTGAAACTTCAGGGTTTTTTCACTCTAAAGCTGAGTATCTAAAAATGCCACGATATTACTAGAAGCATTTTGGACTGTTAAGGGAAGAAAAGACCTAAAAAATGATTTGCAGGGAAGTTTCACCATCTGTTGGGGGTAACTGTTTAAGTCCCTTGAAAAGTCAATGCCAGAAGAATCCTCTAAATGAGGTCAAACTTTGGGGGGAACTGAAGCCCACAGACACTTGGCCTTGACCAACTAAATCAGAAGTCAAGCCAGGAGGCACTAACGCTCCCGAGACCCGCGTCCTGAGGTGCTGGGGAACCAGACAGACTTTATAAACCATGAGAACGGTGGAATTTCTAAATGAATGTGCAATAAAGAATATTCAAAACCTACTGGGTGTGGTGCCTCATGCCCGTAATCCCAGCACTTTGGGAGTCTCAGGTGAGAGCATTGCTTGAGCTCAGGAGTTTGAGATCAGCCTGGGCAACATGGCGAAACTCTGTTTCTATGAAAAATTAGCCGGGTATGGTGGCTTACACCTGTGGTCCTAGCTACTCAGGAGGCTGAGGCAAGAGGATCACTTGAACCTCCAGAGGTTGGAGTGACCTGAGATAGTGTCACCGCACTCCAGCCTGGGTGACAAAGTGAGCCCTGTCTCAAAAAAAAAAAAAAAAGCATTTAATATCAGGTCTATACTGTGGGCAAAATATTAAAATTAAGTGTTAATAACTTGCAACTGGCTGGGCATGGGGGCTCATGCCTGTAATCCCAGCGCTTTGGGAGGCTGAGGCAGGAGGATCACCTGAGGTCAGGAGTTTGAGACCAGCCTGGCCAACATAGTGAAATTCCATCTCTACTAAAAATACAAAATTAGCCAGGTGTGATGGTTTATGCTTGTAGTCTTGGCTACTTGGGAGGCTGAGGCCTGAGAATCACTTGAACCCGGGAGGTGGAGGTTGCAATGAGCCAACATCCTGGCATTGCAATCCAGCCTGGGCAACAAGACCGAAACTTAGCTGGGGGCATTGGTTTATGCCTGTAATCCCAGCAATTTGGGAGGCTGAGGTGGGTGAATCACCTGAGGTGGGGTGTTCCAGACCAGCCTGACCAACATGGAGAAACCCTTTCTTTATTAAAAATACAAAATTAACCGGGCATGGTGGCACATGCCACTACTGCTCGGGAGGCTGAGGCAGGAGAATCACTTGAACTGGGAGGTGGAGGTTGCAGTGAGCTGAGACGGTGCCATTGCACTCCAGCCTAGGCAACAAGAACAAAACTGCCTCTCAAAGAAAAAAAAAAAAAAGTGAAACTCCATCTAAAAAAAAAAAAAAACTACAAAAAACAAACCACCCAAAAGTCTTGCAACTTCACTCAAATCCTTTAAGAAAGTAAGGTGTCAGCTGAGTGAGGTGGCTCACACTTGTAATCCCAGCACTTTGGAAGACTGAGGCGGGAGGATCACGAGGCCAGGAGTTCAAGACCAGCCTGGACAACGCAGTGAAACCCTGCCTCTTGTAAGATAATAAGCAGGTATTTTAAAACACTGTTTAAAACAGAATGTTAAAACACCATTGTGTAAGCCTGTATTTTTTTTTTTTTTGAGACAGAGTCTCGTTCTGCCGCCAGGTGCCAGGCTGGAGTGCAGTGGCACGATCTCTGCTCACTGCAACCTCCGCCTCCCGTGTTCGAGCAATTCTCCTGCCTCAGCCTCCCGAGTAGCTGGGACTACAGACGCACGCCACCACGACCAGCTAATTTTTTATATTTTAGTAGAGACAGGGTTTCACTACGTTGGCCAGGATGGTCTTGATCTCTTGACCTCGTGATCTACCCGCCTCGGCCTCCCAAAGTACTGGGATTACAGGCGTGAGCCACCATGCACGGCTAAGCCTGTATTTTTAAATCATGATACCCAAAATCTCTTCTAAAAAGTAGAAAACATGAAATAAAATTAAACTGCTTTCCTTCAAAAAAGAAAAAAAAAAAAGAAACTCCATCTCAACTAAAAATACAAAAATTAGCTAGGTGTGGTGCGGGCACCTGTAATCCCACCTACTTGGGAGGCTGAGGCAGAAGAATTGCTTGAATCTGGGAGGCAGAGGTTGCAGTGAGCCGAGATCACACCACTGCACTCCAGCCTGGGTGACAGAGCTAGACTCCATCTCAGAAAAAAAAAAAAAGAAAAGAAAGTAATGTGTCAACTATACTAAAGATAGAATTAAGTAATTTTACTGGATAAATTCAGAATTATTGGCAAAGTTGATTTTCTTAAATTTTATACGCTAAGATTTAAGGGTTTTAGTAAATCTGATATCTATGTAAATTAGTTTTTAAAAAAATATGTAAAGCTTTTTACGTTCTGTGTTACTTTTTTTAGTTATGCAAAAAAATAATTTTCTTTCTTTCTTTTTTTTTTTTTTTTTCTTTAAGAAGGAGTTTCACTCTTGTTGCCCAGCCTGGAGTGCAATACCTCGATCTTGGCTCCCTTGGCTCACCACAACCTCCACCTCCCAGGTTCAAGTGATTCTCCTGCCTCAGCCTCCCAAGTAGCTGGGATTACAGGCATGTGTCACCACGCCTGGCTAGTTTTTTATTTTTAGTAGAGATGGGGTTTCTCCATGTTGGTCAGGCTGGTCTGGAGTTCCTGACCTCCGGTGATCCAACTGCCTCGGCCTCCTGAAGTGCTGGGATTACAGGGGTGAGCCACTGTACCTGGTCAAAGGAGCTCTTTGAATGGGAGCTTTGAAGAGGGCATTCTATGTGACCCACAGTCCATTCTTTGTTCCCACTACTCTTGTCCCACTGTGGGGATGCAGGTGGGTTCTTTTAAGAATTCACCAGCAATGCACAGCCATTTTACTCCTAGCTGTATGTTCTGGTGCCCTGTTGAAAGGTGACTCAGCCCCTTGGTGCCTGTTATTTTCAAGAAGAAAGCCAATCTTTTTCCTAGCTCAGAACAATACTTCCAAGGACACCTTCTAAAGAGTGGCACTGCTCCTTATACTATGTTGCTGAAAGAAGATACTCTAAAAATCTGTGAGCATCTGCTTCTATAATAGAGTCCAAAGAAAATTACACTTCTTGGGACTCCGCCATTGTAAAAGAACTCCTCTTTCACTATTCTGCTGTGAGAATTTCCTGTAAGATTCAAATGAAATAGGTATACATGCACACATCCAGGTTTAATCCATAGTAAAGCAAAGCAAAGCACTTTAAAAAAAAAATCTCACCTAGGTTTAATTTTTTTTTTAAAAAAGTACATTAACAAAGAAAATATACCTTTGCAAATATAGTCTTGACATAAATTGGCAGGTCTCCATGGGGACTTCCATAACCCCCTACAATACTAAACCCCAATCCTTCAGAGCCTTTCTCCAAAGTAATAATCTTAGGTGGAGGTGTTCTGAAAACACAATGCATGCTGTTTAATTCGAGAATAGATACTGAGGGAATTTCACTTATTGGAAGAATACAGATTTGAGAGAGACTTTCATACTGTGAAACTATGAAGTTTGGTTTATCAAATCAAACTTTCAGAAAGCAATCTAGAAAGTTACTTTAAAACTTCTCATGGCAAACCAATTAATCACCAATATTCTTGATGTTTTAGAGGTTTCTCTTTCATAAAACTCACTGATTTCTAATTACAGATAAAGTCATGATGCTGAAATTGTCAAGTAACTCCTATATGCTTAGTTTTTAAACTTTTTTTTTTTTTTTTAAGACGGAGCTGGGACTACAGGTACCTGGTTAATTTTTGAATTTTTACTAGAGATGGGGTTTCACCATGTCTGCCAGGCTGGTCTTGAACTCCTGACCTCAAGAGATCTGCCCGCCTCAGCCTCCCAAAGTGCTGGGATTACAGGCATAAGCCACCACACCCAGCCATTTTTTAACTTTTAAACTTACTGCTGACAGCTGAAGGAAGCTGTTGTCACATTGTTGATGCATGCACGTGGAGACAGAGGTAGCATGTCTCCTAGTGTGGTGGGGGACTGCTAGTCTTCATGTGAACTCTTGTCCATAACAGGTAACAGCAGCCTGCAGCTCAGAAAACTGCTGCTCCTTTTATCTTTTTTGTTTTTTGAGATGCAGTCTTTTTTTTTTTTTTTTTTTTTTTTTGGTGAGACGGAGTTTTGCTCGTTACCCAGGCTGGAGTGCAATGGCGCGATCTCGGCTCACTGCAACCTCCGTCTCCCGGGTTCAGGCAATTCTCCTGCCTCAGCCTCCTGAGTAGCTGAGATTACAAGCACGTGCCACCATGCCCAGCTAATTTTTTGTGTTTTTAGTAGAGACGGGGTTTCACCATGTTGACCAGGATGGTCTCGATCTCTCGACCTCGTGATCCACCCGCCTCGGCCTCCCAAAGTGCTGGGATTACAGGCTTGAGCCACCGCGCCCGGCCGAGATGCAGTCTTGCTGGTCACCAGGCTGGAGTGCAGTGGCTCAATCTTGGCTCACTGCAACCTCTGCCTCCAGGGTTCAAGCGATTCTCCTGCCTCAGCCTCCTGAGTAGCTTGGATTATAGGGGCATACCACCACGCCCAGCTAATTTTTGTATTTTTAGCATGAGGTTTCACCATGTTGGCCAGGCTGGTCTTGCACTCCTGACCTCAGGTGATCCACCTTCCTTAGCCTCCCAAAGTGCTGGGATTCCAGGTGTGAGCTGCCGTGCCCAGAGTGCTGCTCTTTTTCTGCTTGAATGCCCTGGCCACTTCCACCTAAGGCAGGAACTCCTTCTCCAAACTCACTTCCAACGTGAGGCTCTCCTGCCTCCCTTGGGAGGATGGGTCCCATATCTTTTCCTGTCCTTTCCCTGCATTCGGTCCAAATTTCCATTTTGGCACTGACTGTGTCATATTGGAATTACTTACCCATCCATTTCCTCTACCAGACTAGGACCTCTTTGTCTTAGTCATCTGAGCCTTCCCAGAACCATGTGTGGTGCTTGTCAGAAACTCAGGATCATGACTGTGTGAATGAGGACTGAAATCCAGGAAAGAAGAGAGAAACCAAGGGGAAGCAAAATGGGGAAAGAAAATCTGTTTCAAATGTAAAAATTAGCTTTTCAAAGCTTCATCCAGTGTGGAAGTCTCTCTCTCAGAAACAACGTGGCTAAAAACAAAATTATCTATGTGGGCTCCCAGTAATTCAATCTTAATCTAAGTTTAGGTGACGCAGTTTCTTATTCCCAAATGCGATGGCTCAAAGTCAGAAACACAACTCTGTCTTATTCGTGACAGGTAGTTCACATTTGTGTACCAGCAGCATCGTTTGGTTTGTGGCAACATGCATGTCTGAGAGGCAAAGTCATCTCATATAAACTCAGCCATTCATGCACTTAGAGAGATTTGCAAAACAGGGACATAAGCGATCTTTAACTATGTGGTTCTAACTAGAATATTCTTCCCTCTCTTCTTCCTCAATTTTGCTGCTTTATTAAAGGGTTTTCAGTAGGTTCACATTGACCAGTTGTTTATTGATTTACTCACTAATTGTTTACAGCAGACATCCATGGTAAGTGCTGACGATCTATGCTATATAAATTGTTAACTGTTTTTTTGTTTATTTTTTAAAGACACAGACTGCCTGATGTTAACAGTTTCTGTTTCGTTTGTCTTTACATTTTTTAAAATAAACACAGGGTCTGACCATGTTGCCCAGGCCTTGGCCTCTCAAAGTGCTGGGATTACAGGAGTGAGCCACTGCATGTAACTATTTTGAACGTTACCCTGTTTATTCCAATTCTTTTTTTTTTTTTTTGAGACAGGGTCTTGTTCTGTCTCCTAGGCTGGAGTGCAGTGGTGCAATCACAGCCCACTGCAGCCTCGAACTCCTGGGCTCGAGTGATCCTCCCACCTCAGCCTCCTGGGTAGTTGGGACTACAAGCATGCACTACTATGCCTGGCTCCAGTTCTCAATTTTTTTTTTTTTTTTTTTTTTTTTTGAGACGGAGTTTCGCTCTTGTTACCCAGGCTGGAGTGCAATGGCGTGATCTCGGCTCACCACAACCTCCGCCTCCTGGGTTCAGGCAAATTCTCCTGCCTCAGCCTCCTGAGTAGCTGGGATTACAGGCATGTGCCAGCCACCATGCCCAGCTAATTTTTTGTATTTTTAGTAGAGACGGGGTTTCACCATGTTGACCAGGATGGTCTCAATCTCTTGACTTCGTGATCCACCCGCCTCTGCCTCCCAAAGTGCTGGGATTACAGGCTTGAGCCACCGCGCCCGGCATCCAGTTCTCTTAAGCTTAAGCATTGGCTCCTCCAAGTACGCTCCATAATTGAGTTATGCCCCATATCCATGGTTTCACAGGACCCTCTCTCAACGAATTTAGCTTTCCTACAATTCTCTTTTATAACCATGGATTTAGGGGTCTGTCTTCCACTTCTCTAGCAGCTCTTTGGGGACTGGGGCAATGTCTTTACTCACATTTCTAAGTTTGAGTCCTCAGGACCTAACACCTTTATCTAAGTGTCTGGCCTTAGAATGGTGCTCAATAAATATCTGTTGAAATAATGATGAACTGTCCTCTATGGCTGAATGACAATGACATCATGAATAAGGCTCTACTTTCCCCGACTTTGTGGCCTTACAAGCACTCGCAGTCGGTTACTGGCTGGATACAAATTCAATTCATGCTGCTTCTTTCAAACACAGCCCCCATTTCCAAAGATATTAGAATGGGAACCTAGATGCCCAAAGCCATTGCTTTAGAGCTAGTTCCGGGGGCCACCAAATCATTAGAGATCTTATAATTGTGACTATGTATACTCAGGGATGTGTTTTCAGGGAAAGAGGAAGGAATGTGGCTTTGCTCCTCAACTGGCAACATCAGATGGAGTTTGCCTCCATTGATCTCACAATATCAAAACACTTTCAACCAATGAGTTTAAATTTGCTTTCATATAGAAGACTAGTTTAAAAAAAAAATCTCAGTTAGCAGTGGTGAGATTATGAGTAATTTTTAAATTCCTTCAAGCTTGTGGTTCACACAACTTGCCAGAGACCATGAAATTATAGCAAAGGAATCAAGATGACAAGGGATCCCTGTATTTCCACAGTCACACCAAAGGATGCTAAAGGTACACTATTCTTCCTATAAAGGTCCTGATTTTTTTTTTTTTTTTTTAAGGAAAGGGCCACTGTAATTTGAAAAATGTTATATTTCTATGTTTTGTCATATTTTCATGGCATGCACGTATTACTTTTATAATGAGAAAAAGGTAGAATTAGCTCAATTTAATATTCTTTCCTCAAGAAAAATAAACTTGAAGATGTCATTTAGGTTGTTAACTACCAGGAAAAAGTTGGGAAAGTCTATGACCATGAGATCCTTCAAATGAACCATCTGGATCTCAACAAACATTTCTTTATTTTAATTTTATTTATTTATTTATTTTGAGACGGAGTCTCGCTCTGTCACCCAGGCTGGACTGCAGTGGTGCAATCTTGGCTCACTGAGACTTCCGCCTCCCGGGTTCAAGCGATTCTCCTGCCTCAGCTTCCTGAGTAGCTGGGATTACAGGTGCCCGCTACCATGCCCGGCAAACTTTTTGTATTTTTAGGAGAGACGAGGTTTCATCATGTTGACCAAGCTGTTCTCAAACTCCTGACCTCAGGTGATCCACCCACCTTAGCCTCCCAAAATTCAGGGATTACAGGTATGAGCCACAGCGCCCAGGCCTTAAATTACTGTTATGCACATTCTAGTTTGAGAAACCCTGCTTTAATGAACTTTAACTGCAATGACTGGTTTTAATGAGACATGTCAGCAAGTATAACTACAAGATTTTATCTCAGAACAAGATTTTAGTGTAGAAGTTCAAGAAACATGGGTCCTTGCACGATACAGCAGGGTGCACCTGGGCTATCCATCTGTGGTTTCTTAGGGAAGAAGGCATAAACACCGTGTCAAAGTGACCAGGTGCAGCGTATGTGGAGGCCCTGCAACCATGGTCTTTTAAGAACTCATGTGGTGGAATTAAGTCTTGTGAGGAATAAGGAAACCCTGGTGCCTTCTTAGAGATTCTCTAGAATTTAGAAAGTCATGAGCAATTGGCCTCCTCTTCCTTAAGAGTGCACTTGAGTATCTGGAAAAGTTCTTCTGAGCTTTGCCCACATGCATACTAGGCCCTCTGCTTCTGAAATACTCACTCTGTGTGTTCTGGATGGTGTTCAGCAGTGGGCGAACCAAGGCGGTAGCCTGTAGACATGTTTTCAAGCTGAGCTGCTATGGCACTTATATTGGTATCTGCTACAACCTGGGGAAAAAGTGAAAACGAGGAATTTCATTATCAGGAAAGGGAGAATTAGAGAAAGCATGCTACATCCAACGGTCAATTCTCAGTCCTAATCTTATTCAACTTCTCTGGACCATTTGACACAATGGACTATGAACTATTTTTTCTTTCAAATCTTTTTTCTTTCTTTTTTTATCTACGACAGGGTCTTACTCTGTTGCTCAGGCTGGAGTGCAGTGACATGATCTCAGCTCACTGAAGCCTTGACCTTCAAGTGATCCTCCCACCTCAGCCTCCTAAGTAGCTAGGACCACAGGCATGCACCACCAGGCCTGGGTAATTGTTTGTTTGTTTTTTTTTTTGTTTTGAGACAGAGTTTCGCTCTTGTTACCCAGGTTGGAGTACAATGGCGCAATCTCGGATCACTGCAACTTCTGCCTCCTGGGTTCAAGGGATTCTCATGCCTCAGGCTGCTGAGTAGCTGGGATTATTTCAGGCACCCACTACCATGCCTGGCTAATTTTTTTTTTTTTTTTTTTTTTTTTGAGATGGAGTCTTGCTCTGTCCCCAGGCCGGAGTGCAGTGGCGCGATCTCAGCTCACTACAACCTCCGCCTCCTGGGTTCAAACGATTCTCCTGCCTCATCCTCCTTAGTAGCTGGGACTACTGGCATGTGCCACCACACCCAGCTAATTTTTGTATTTTTAGTAGAGATGGAGTTTCACCATGTTGGCCAGGTTGGTCTCGATATCATGACCTTGTAATCTGCCTGCCTTTGTGTCCCAAAGTGCTAGGATTACAGGCGTGAGCCATCATACCTGACCCTGGGTAACTTTGTTGTATTTGTAGAGATGGAGTTTTTGCCATGTTGTTCAGGCTGATCTCGAACGTCTGGGCTCAAGTGATCCACCTGCCTCAGTATCCCAAAGTGCTGGGATTATAGGAACGTGCCTAAGTCTGCCTTGCCTCCTTATCCTGAAGTTGTCTTCCACCTCAACTAGTTACCAGAGATACTTTCCAAGAACTCCTTGGTTACCCCTGCTTCAAGGTTATAATTCTCATTGCACAAATACAGAGGGAACTTTGCCTGCCAGCAATTCAAAGCTCGATTTGATTGCAGTTTCAGAATAGGCCAACAGAGGGCGCGGCTGCCTACACTGCTAAATTAAACTGCATCTGTTATACTAAGCAGAGCAGAAAAAGAAAGGCAACAGGCCTGCCCCAGAACACATTTTGGGTGAAGCATCCGATTTTGGGGAAAACACTGCTATGTCCAAGTTACAGAATCTTCTGGAAATACCACTATATGAATATGGAGAATGACTGAATGAATTGGGAAATATTTAGGATAAAAGGTTAAAGGAGGAAATGATAGATTTCTCCCTGCCCCCAAAAGCCTTCCCTCTTAACACTAGCCTTCTGCTCTCCTCCACAGCAAGTGTACTGGAAGGGTTAACTTGTCCATGAACTCTGTCATCCTCCCTACTCTTAGAATCCACCATCTTTAGAAACCTATCCCACTCCAGCTTCCTTCCCCATCTCCCACCCAAACTTCCATGACCTACACTCTCCTGGCTTTTTTTCTGCGGGGGTCTGTTTCTCCATCTCTTTGCTCTTCGGCCATTCATCTCTCATGGCTCAGTCCTGGGCCCATTGTCCACTTGCACACTCAGGCTCAAGTGACAGTATGTTCTTTCCCACAGCTTTACAGTCCAACAATGTGCTCACTATCCCAGCTTAGGCCGGGCGTGGTGGCTCATGCCTGTAATGCCAGCACTTTGGGAGGCCGAGGTGAGTGGATCACCTGAGGTCAGAAGTTCAAGACCAGTCTGACCAACATGGTGAAACCTAGTCTCTACTAAAAATACAAAAATAGGCCAGGCGTGGTGGCTTATGCCTATAATCCCAGCACTTTAGGAGGCTAAGGCGGGCGGATCACGAGGTCAGGAGTTCAAGACCAGACTGGTCAACATAGTGAAACCCTGTCTCTACTAAAAGTACAAAAAATTAGCCAGGCGTGGTGGCACGTGCCTGTAATCCCAGCTACTTGGGAAGCTGAGGCAAGAGAATTGCTTGAACCCAGGAGGCAGAGGTTGCAGGGAGCTGAGATTGCTTCACTGCACTTTAGCCTGGATGACAGTGCAAGACTCCATCTCAAAAACAAGCAAACAAGAAAATCCCCAAAATTAGCTGGATGTGGTGGCGGGGGCCTGTAATCCCAGCTACTAAGGAGGCTGAGGCAGGAGAATTGCTTGAACCCAGGAGGCAGAGGTTGCAGTGAATCCAGATTGCACCACTGCACTCCAGCCTGACGGACAGAGTGAGACCCTGTCTAAAAAAAAAAAAAAAAATCCAGTTTAGTCTGTGACATCCAATTGCCAACTTGACATCTGCATTTTAATATCTCAAAGTCATATCAAAATTAACATAATACCAAACTTTTGATCCAACAATTCGTGTCCTTCAATTCACCTCCTTCAATTCAATTTTCTAGTTTTCCTCATTTTAGTAAATGGCACCTCCAGCTGCCCACTTAGAAATCTACTAGGTGAAATAGTGAAAATACTAGTGCACTAGCTGGTACCTATCTAACTGGAAAGCATGCTAGGATGCCAGCCACACAGCTGATCGCTCTGAATATCTGATACTTCCACTCCTGCTTGGCGTATTTAATCCATCAAGTCCCATGGATTCTACCTCCAAAATCTTTCTCAAAACTGTTTACTTTTCATCTACAGGTGACCATCCTAATTCAGTCCACCATGCAGTGCCTGTTAGCTGGAATCTCTATTCATCCTTGTCTCACCTCCCTCCCACCCAGTAGCCAGTTACTTTTTCTTTTCTTTTCTTTCTTTTTTTTTTTTTTTTGAGACAGAGTCTCGCTCTGTCACCAGGCTGGAGTGCAGTGGCGTGATCTTGGCTCACTGCAACCTCCGCCTCCTGAGTTCAAGCAATTATCCTGCCTCAGCCTCCTGAGTAGCTGGGACTACAGGTGCATGCCACCATGCCCAGCTAATATTTGTATATTTTAGTAGAGACGGGGTTTCACCATGTTGGCCAGGATGGTCTTGATCTCTTGACCTAGTGATCTGCCTGCCTCAGCTTCCCAAAGTGCTGGGATTACAGGCATGAGCCACCGTGCCCGGCCTACCATTTCAAATATAAAATGGGTATCAGCACTCCCCTGCTTAAAACCTTGCAGTGGTTTCCCTTTGGACTTGGAATAAATTCAGACTCTCTAATTATGCAAACGAAGTTCCCTCCATAGCCTGATCCTCTAATCCCGTCTCTCTCCACCCTACATTCCACAGTTCTCTCTGCAGGTGGGGAATTCCCCTCATCCCCCCCAAATCAGTGTGCCTGGCATTGGCTTAAATGTTGCTTCCCTTCTACAAGCCTGCTTCCACCATCCGTGTTTAATTCCTCCTGTTTTCCTTTCCATAGCACTCTCCAAGTACTTCTCACAAATTATGGTGATTAGTATCTAGATGCGTGTTAACTGTCTTTGCCACCCAATCACAGGATCCGAGAGGAGCAGGACCGCTTCTCCTGGGCACGATGCTAATGTGTCTGGCACATAACCATTGCTTAATAATATTTTTGGAGTGAATGAATGAAATCTAAAACTGTCATAAGGAATAGGGATTATGGGACTCAGTTTTCTGAATTTCCACAGAGCAGAGTGAGACTGATAGAGGTTACAAGGGGATAGGTTTTCGGTCTATTTATTTACGTATTTATTTATATTTTAGGGCACAGGAGCGGAGACAGTCATCCGAACCCCAGGTCCCAGGCCTGTTTGTTTATTTTTGAGACAGCATATTGCTCTTGTTGCCCAGGCTGGTGTGCAGTGGCGTGATCTTGGCTCACTGCAACCTCTGCCTCCTGTGTTCAAGCAATTCTCCTGCCTCAGCCTCCTGAGTAGCTTGGATTACAGGCATGCGCCACCATGCCTGGCTAAATTTTTATATTTTTAGTAGGGACAGGGCTTCATCATGTTGGCCAGGCTGGTCTCGAACTCCTGACCTCAGGTGATCCATCCGCCTCGGCCTCCCAAAGTGCAGGGATTACAGGCATGAGCCACCTTGCCCAGCCAGGTTTTGGGTTCTTAAGGGAGAAAAAAAAGTAACACTGAAGGCAGTTACGGAATGGAATGTCACAGTTGCTAGGACATGAGTACCTCGGTGAAGCAAGCATCCAGATAGAGGCTCGAAATTGATCAGTTCAGGATGTAGTGGAGGGGAGTCCTATGCTTTGTGGGAAATTACATGTGTACTGTCAGCTGGCCGTGAAACAGGCTGTCCATATAGGGCTGAGGAAGAAAGTCACTAAAATAGTATTTTTTCTACGGTATCTTCAAATGCTGAGATGTGACGGCAGCCTGCTCCTTCCTTTACTTGCTCATTTGATCAACATAATGCCGCACCACAACAGCTGAATATAAAATGAGCACTTACTTTATGCTCATTTTATTTCATTTTTATTTATTTGTTTATTTTTGAGGCAGTCTCGCTGTCTTGCCCAGGCTGGGGTGCGGTGGCACAATCTCAGCTCACTGTAACCTCCACCTCCTGGGTTTAAGCAAATTCTTGTGCCTCAGCCTCCAGAGTAGCTAGGATTACAGGTGCATGCCACCTTGCCTGGCTAATTTTTGTATTTTTAGTACAGATGGGGTTTTACCATGTTGCCCAGGCTGGTCTTAAACTCCTGGCCTCAAGCGATCCACCATCTTGGCCTCCCAAGGTGCTGGGATTACAGGTTTGAGCCACTGTGCCCGGCCTTTATGCTCCGTTTTTTTTTTTTTTTTTTTTTTTTTTTGAGATGGACTTTTGTTCCTGTTGCCCAGGCTGGAGTGCAACAGCAGGATCTCAGCTCATCACACCCTCTGCCTCACGGGTTCAAGTGATTCTCCTGCCTCAGTCTCCCAAGTAGCTCGGATTATGGGCATGTGCTACCACGCCTGGCTAATTTTGTGTTTCTAATAGAGACAGTTCTTCCATGTTGGTCAGGCTGGTCTTGAA